GTCGTTTGATTGCTTGCTTGCTTGCTCGCTTGCTTGCTTGCTTGCTTGCATGCTTGATTGTTTTGGACCTTACTACGTCATACTCGGAAGCACGTCAAGGGTCCTGACGACCAACGACGATTAATAATGATGATATGGAGTACTATGAATGTCACAGAGGTTAGCCTATAAACGGTGACAGAAAAAGTCGCAAGAAATTTGAGTTTGAACTTGACAAAGCGTAACAAGACATGCCCGTTTTATCAGTAGGTTGTAACGTATGGGTTGTAACGAGTATCCTCCATACTTCGGCTCAAACTAATTCGTCACTCGTTCGTCACTTTGATCTATTCGTAATCGGCTTTTGCGATTTCAATGAAATCAATTTACATACTTGCATGTTCGTTTGTTCTCGTTCTTCGGTACAGGTTAACTAATATCAGTCTAATATCACTCTTTTTTATTTTTAGATCTCGAAAATTATATTTCGATGGAAGCTTGGGCTTCCTGTATATATTTTCGAAACTCATTGGGCCTCGTCCTACAGGCCCTCGTCTCACGTGGTCTCGTCCCACAGGGCCTCGTCCCACAGGGCCTCGTCCCGCAGAGCCTCGTCCCGCAGAGCCTCGTCCCACAAGGCCTCGTCCCACAGGGCCTCGTCCCGCAGGGCCTCGTCCCACAAGGCCTCCTCCCACAGGGCCTCGTCCCACAGGGCCTCGTCCCAGGGTTCTAATTAAACAAGATTTTTGTCCTCATGTGTACTCGATGGAAGTATCATTACTTATCCGTCTTTCGAATGATGTCGAAGAATTAAATCTAGGCCCCATAATTTATGAAATAATCAATTCGCACCAAACTGTTTGCGCTGATTTTAGTCAGGCCGATTGGTCGAGATTTCGAGATAATGCGGATAAACAATGTGTTGCCATGGCTTTAACATCTATAATCTACAGATGTAAGGCGGGGGTTACCCAAAATTTGAAAATTTTTGAAATTTTTTTTTTTAAGAGTAAAAGATACTTCAAACATTACATTTAGCATAGCCACATGTTGTTTGCTTTGATTTGAATTTTTTCCGTTTTTAATCTGGGCGGTTTTAAAATACTCGCCATTTAAAATTACCTGGTTGCTATGGAAACGAGAGGTAGCATTTTTTGTTGTTACCTTGTTTTCTTCGTCAAAACTGAGCCCAGTTTCCCTGGAGATGAGAGTATGCCATCATAGGAAGCTAACATAAAGTCTCTCCGTCACAAAAGGTTTGATTTAAAGTTTTGTGCGTGACAAAAGTGGAAAATTTGTGTCTTGTGTGAGGAAAAAGCCATATTTTAGTTGAGGATTGTTGGATAGAAAGAAAAAAACACTATATAAAGATGACTAGAAAAGGAAAAGGTTTCTCTGGCATACAAAGGACAACAATAAATCGAAAGAGGAGAGCAAAGCATAGAGGAGACGGCTGAGACATCGTGATGATGAACCTGCGTGTGTTAGTTCTTTGGGGAAGATGATGAAATTACAAAACGACGCTACAGCTACAGAGTTGACTGATGTCCTTCCAGATCTGCCTGGCAATGATGAAGATGGGTATAGGCTGATGAATGTAAAACATTTAGCCTCTGTGTTCTCTGAAATTCATGTTTGCGATGAAGGTATTGAGTGATGATTTGTTTTTAAATTGGCTTTGCCAGTGTCAAGTTTGCCCTATCACCCAAATATTATACTTGTTTGTTATCTTGGTATTAATAGCTATTGTATAAGTGATAAAATTCTTACATACTGTAAGTTTTATCAGCTTTGTCTATTTATTATATAAAATAATTATGTGCATCTTTGATATATGCCTTGGGCTGCTATGTCGAACCTACACCTCAACTAATAAGATTTTGCCTTGAACTTTTAGGTATTATAAAACAAGACCAACATTTGCATAACTGAGTGAGTGATACAAAGTTGCATGAGAGATGGGTACATGGCACAACTGCAAAACCCAAATGAATGCCTCAACCCCTGGTATCAACCCGTATCGGCTTGATGTCCAAAGCATAAACATCACAGCGTCCAAACTGTTCACTGTACTGTTGCTTCAGCTTTTTGCCATTTCCGTAATGGTGCTGCAAGCAGAGAAAGGATTATGTAGGAACTTTCCATACCTGCTGGTCACCATATAAGGCATAATTCTTTTGTATGTGACAAGAAGAGGTTAAGAAAATCTGATTTTCAGGCCAACCAAAAGCAAGCGAAACGTCGCGAATGACACGCCTTCCAGCCGATAGAAACGGAAGAGGCTCTTCGTGAAGCTGAGGGAGTCAGTTTTGAAGCAGCAGGGTTTTAAACAACCCCCTGTTTCATTTAATGCATGAAATAACGAGTTGCACAGTCTAAATATTTACTATTGCACTTTTTAAGACATGGCAACTTTTAAACCTGATTTTCTCCAAATACCTGTTTTTCGCAGTTGAGAAAAGATAACTCGACTAGTATTTGCTCGATTGTTATGAAATTTTCAGGAATTGTTGCTCTAAGAGAGCTTTCTTGGATAAGCATAGAGATTTTTGAACTTTTTGAAATGTTTAATTTTAGGGAAGTTATGAATCAAAACGTGACCACTTTCTTGTTCACGAACTTCGACCAACCACTGTGTCAATTCCTTTTATAATATAAAAAAGTTCTATGCTTATCCAAGAAAACCACTTGTAATCTTTCATTTGGCACAAAAAATAAGCAATTTAATGCAATACCCAATCTTAAATCTTTCCTCGGGAAGATGGGGAACTCACAGCATGTGGTAGCCGGTGTCGGGTGACAATGTAATTATTGATAATATAAATTATATTTTCAGAATCTATGTTTCATTAGCTTTCATATGATATATAGTTTGTTATGGTTTAGAGTAAAACCTGATGTGTTATGGCTATCTGAATGAACAGCCCAAAGTTTGGGTTAACCCCCGCCTCATATTAACCTCCGTAGTTATATCAATCGTAATATCAATCTCCGTAGTTATCCAAACAGCGATAGTCACATGCACGCGCTGCGTACCTATTTTTTGTACTGTACTGTGCTGTGCTTTGCTTTGCTTTGCTGTGCTGTGCTGTGCTGTGCTGTGCTAATAAGGAATTTAACATTTTTTTGCAGTTGCATCTCTATGAGATTTGACCATTAAAATAGACCGTCGATCGACACTGTGGTACGGACGTGTACAACAAACTAAAAATTGATGTATCAAGGTTGACATTTTCCGTGGTCTACGTCACGTGAAAGAAAAAAATCAAAAAAGCAATATTCATAAAAGCATCTGATATGCGTTTAGAGAACAATGTTAAATTGAAAGTATCAACATGGAATGTCTACATGTTTATCTTGGAAAGATACTATATACTTCACAAGTGTATAACGTTGTTTTCAAATTGAATGCAAAACTTCATCACGTCCAGCCATTGTGTCATCAAAACACTGGAACACAAAAACGAAGAAAACTTTGAAGAAACAACGCCTCCTCTCCATATACCTTTTTGGCTGCAAACTATATTGCGAAAAATGAATATCTTGGAAATGGTATTATAATTAATACACTAACATTTAAGAACTGATTGACGCACCAGATTTGTTATGGAAGCTACTATAAATTAAAGTGTATATATTTGTGTGACAAGTTATAGCCTATCTTTATTCTAATAAAATTGGTCATTCCGTGTATTTTATTCACATTAAGCATTCTTTGTTTTTGATCCAGTAGACGCCATGTACCCTACAGCGTACCTATTTTTTGAATTGGCTGTATATAAACTTCTGTCAACACTATTCAAACGCATATGCTTTTCACGCACATGCGATATAATTTGGGCTTTTAAGCCTGGTTCACACGATGAAATAAGCATAAGCATAAGCATAAGCATAAGCATAAGCATAAGCATAAGCATAAGCATAAGCATAAGCATAAGCATAAGCATAAGCATAAGCATAAGCATAAGCATAAGCATAAGCATAAGCATAAGCATAAGCATAAGCATAAGCAAGCGGAACCTTTGATGTGCATAAGCATAAACATAAGAAGAACAAATGTTGCGTTTTTCTTATGCTTACGTTTATGCACATCAAAGGTTCCGCTGCTTGTGCTTATGCTTATTTCATCGTGTGAACCAGGCTTTAATGCACTATTTATATTATGCCATAGCGTAATGACTATCGTCTGAGGTAAACCACTCCAAAATAGTGTAAAAAAACTCTGCAACAAAGAAATGTTTTCACTTGCCACATACTCCACATCGCAATAGCGCACTATGATAAACGAGACTTACATTTTTATCCACTGACTTATGTATCAGAAGTTATTAACTTTGTCGCCGATACTCGGGTGCCTAGATTTTTCCGATAATCATGGAAACAAAGTGACCGAGATGAAAGCGCAATATCTCAAGAGTAAAAATCTGTGGCTGTGCGTACATCTACAGAAAGTTAAGCCCTGGGCAAACTAGGAAACATGTTGCGGAGATATTGTTTCCTACCAATGTTTCGCCATGTTTTCAAGAGTGAGCAAACACTAGGAAACATTAGTGAGAAATATAGGGAAACATCAAATGTTTCTGAATTCGCTAAGAAACATTTTTGCTTCTCGGGAAGCAAATTTTGTTTCCGCAACAATGTTTCCACGGGTGGGCAATCACAAACGTTTCCACAACAATGTTTTCCAGGGCTTTAGATATATAACGAGAAAGAAAAATTGCAATTCAGCATTATTGCGTATTTGTATTTTAAAAATTAATCCCAGTGACCTTGAGATGTCACCTGATACTATACAGAAACATATTAGCATTTTAAGTAATTAAGGTGTCATGATCAATTGTTACGTTACTACGAACATATTAGTGAGTTTGGCGAATACAACACTACAACAGTAACGTCAGTGTCAGTGAAGACGTGATCATCAACAATAGAATTTTCAAAGGTGACTATAAATTGTATTCCCTTGACCATTTTAGTACGCCGTAGTTGTTCAAACTGCTACCGTAACGTTTAATATTTACATAATTTTCACGGCTTATGAACACGCTAACAGTTAGAACGTTGAAAGTCGTTTCCGGTGTTTTATGTGGATTTTCTGATTGTTCGTCTGTTACTTAAGTGTCGCTTAAAAGAAAGATAGTTCTTTTAAGAGGCAAATAATGCTTTGGCTTCAATATTAATGTAATTAAGTGTTTTTATTTCTGCCGCTGTCGTTGTCGTTATCGGTTGCCAAACTCCCTATATATATTAGAATTCGAGACAGGTCGCGCTTACTAAAAATAATATATAAAGATTTATAATATATAAAGATTTATACAGCGCTTAAATTATATAAAATATTCCAAAGCGCTTTACAACAATGAAGTTATACTATATACAAGTAGCTAAAATATTAAGAATTAAGGTATAGGTGTCTATAAATCTAAAAGTTAGAATCGAAAGCTTTCTTAAAAAGGAAAGTCTTTAATTGAGATTTAAACAGTCAATTGTTTTACTATTTCTAATACCAGAAGGTAGCATGTTCCAAATTGACGGAGCTGCATGCACAAATGCTCGATCACCAAGAGTCTTGGCTCTAGTTTTTGGGATAAAAAGTAGTCCCTGATCATCAGATCTCAGTTGGTAACAGCAGTTCGGTTTTTCTAACAACAGTTCCATAATGTAGCCTGGCGCCATCCCGTGGAAAGCTTTATATACCAGAAGTGCAATTTTAAAATCAACGCGAAACTTGACAGGCAGCCAGTGAAGGTGCATCAGGACAGGGGTAATATGAGCACATCTTGGTATAAGACACGTCACTCTAGCAGCGGCATTGAGAACTCGTTGAAGACGCTGAAGTTGGTATTGGGGAATGCCGAACAAGAGAGAATTGCAGTAGTCCAAGTGTGACGTCACAAAGGCATGTACGAGCGTTTTAGTTGATTCGATGGAGAGAAACTTCCTTATTTGTCGGATGTTGTACAAGCCCCTAAATGCTTTGCTGCAAACCTTGCCCACATGGACATTCATCGACATATGTTCGTCAAACCACGAACCTAGATTTCGGACTTCTTGTACAGGTTTTATATCAGCATCACCAACTTCAATCGAGTCGATTGTAACCTTAGACAGCTGCTGGCGAGTTCCAATTATCAAGAATTCCGTTTTAGTGTCATTGAACATTAATTTATGTGAAACTAACCAAGCACGAACTTCGACGATGCAATTATTAATAGTTTGAATAGCTTGGTCTTGGACAACGGGTGACTCAGGACGGAAAGATAAATAAAGTTGAGTGTCATCTGCATACCCATGGGAAGAAGGTAAGTGCCTGTTAATAATCTGGAACAGTTGAGACACGTATAATAGGAAAAGGACCGGTCCAAGACAGCTTCCTTGTGGTACTCCACAGTTCAACGTAAAATTGGCGGAAAACTTTTGCTTAATATTAATACGCTGCTTTCTACAGGAAAGAAACGACTTAATCCACTTTAAGGCATTTCCGATCACACCAAATTCTAACTTCAATATATCCATCAGAATTTCATGATCAATGGTGTCAAAGGCGGCACTCAAATCCAAGAGCACTAAAAGAGTTACTTTCTGTTGGTCCATGTTCATAAGGATATCATTGTGGACTCTTAGGAGAGCTGTTTCGGTAGAGTGAAATTGACGATATGACGATTGGTTGTTAGGAAGAGGAGCATTATCAGCACAATGCTCAAATAACTGGCTAACAACTGCTTTTTCCGTAGCTTTAGAAACGAATGACAGGTTACTGACGGGCCTGAAGTTCTCAAAGACTAGATCAAGACCGTATTTTTTTAGAATTGGAATAAGAATGGCAACTTTCCATGCTTCTGGGACGTGACCTTCACTTAACGACAAGTTGATCATTTTCATAATGACAGGTGTTAACTCACTGGCACATAATTTCAGCAGCCATGTTGGGATAGGATCAAGGTTACATGTTGCATTCGACGACTTCATGATTATGTTATGGACTTCTTCTTCTGACAGGAGCTTAAATGAGTCTAATTTGAAATCAGGTAAACGATAATCTACTAACGGTGGGTCTACTACAACGTTTTCAATGTCATTTCTAATTAGCTCAATCTTTCGACAGAAATATTTTCCGAACTTATCAGCCAGTTTACGTGAATCATCATGTGGAGACAAGGAGTTTTCTTGAGGTGTGTTGCAAAGTGAAGACACAACCTTAAAAAGTTTTCTTGAATCTCCCGAGCATTGATCGATAAGATCAGAATAGTATTTATGTCTAGCATTTTTCAAACTGGTAGCATACTTGTTACGCGCTTGGCGATAAGCGTCTTTATCATTTTGGCAATTTGATCGTAGCATTACTTTCTCCAGTTTTCTGCGTTTGGCCTTAATACGTTTAAGTTCTTCACTGAACCATGGTACTCTTGGTCTGACAACCACTATCTTTCTTTGTAAAGGGGCATGTTTCTCCAAAATATGTGATATACTAGCGCTAGAATCGTGCTTACTTGAACGTAATCTACTTGAATCTGTCAACAGGTCAGCCTCCAAGCACATTTGATAGTGTGACCGCGTAAAACGCATAATCCGAGCTTGCTTGAAACTTGATACATTTTGCTTGAAACTACAAAAGTACCGCAGCAAGATTCAAGCGCGGTAGGGACGGTGACTGAACTGTGCTAGAATGCATATCTCAAGAGGATTTATACAACGCGACCAATAAAAACACTCCCTGTTTAAGTATCCCTTAGAAATCCTGATAAGACCAAAAATTGCATTGCTAATTTCGAAACACAGACACACATATTGCAGGCAGTCGCACTATCTTTCGTATTCTAAAAATCAGAATGGATTCAACTCCGAACGCAATTGCAACACAATGAAAGTGCGATCCAACTCCTGGTCTTGGAATAACCCAAAACTCACGATCAACTCTTGGGTTGACCACTCTGGCGATCGCGATAAGAAGCAATGTTGTTGTCGTCTGAAGCATCTGCAAGCGTCGCATGTTTTGATTCATTTGGTGAAGCAAAAGGTACATTCGTCGCCTTCTGAGATTAAGCGCTCTTCGTTTTTTAGCATCGCGAAAACGTTGATACATAAAATGAAATAAAAGCAAAGAATCTCTGTCCATTTTAAGTCTATTTATTTATATAACGAAGAATTGCGTAATGTAAATTTACCAAAAACCAAAGACACTTTATCTGTCATTACAATCTTAAGCAAGCATAAGTACTTTTTCAGTGTTGAATGACGTCACAAGCAAGCACGCTAATCCTTTGCTAATGTGCAAGCACAAGCGCTAGTGTGACCGCGACCTATGATCGAAAATGTATCGAGTTACGACTGTTTTTCCTTCTTCAAAGCATCTCTAAAATCACTATAATCTTGAAATCCAGTCTCTTTTGTGACAATTTCATTCCACATTTTTTGAACAGCTTGTTTGGTACCCTCGTCCATTACCTCGCGTCCCTTTGTTGCAGAACCCGTAGCAACACATTGCCATACAGCTCCTTCTGGTATTCCCAACGCTTTATTCCGATAACTTGATACGAGGTTGGATGCGAACTTGTCTCGACTTTGCTTCATGAAATCAAATGTGCTCATTTTCACGGCATTTGTTATACTAGCTTCATCCTCAATACCCATGAACGTTGCAACAGCCCTCACTGCACTTTCCAAGTCATCCAACATATCTTCGTATAGAAGAAACAATACATTCGGATCATTTCGTTTTGGCCACCAGCTCAGCAAATGCTGGAAGTAATTCGCACGCATCTTTTCATTTGGGGAAATCATATTTTTCACGAATTCGTCAAGCGTTATTTCTTCTGGTTGAAAATGTGTTCCTTTTAAGAAATTGAATGCACTGTAGAATGATGCACAAGGCTCCCGATAGACAACAATATATTTCGCGCCTTTAGGACAGACTTCATACCAAGCGTGCGTCTTGAAACATCTAGGCTGATATTTGTGTTCGGCATCGAGGTCTTGTCCGACATCATAAGCCAAATCAATCCATGGAACAACTTCGTCAATATCTGTAAAGGTCATATCACCTCCGCTACGCAGTTGATGCATAATCTGTTGGATCCATGTTGTGCCACATTTCGGTGGGGTAGCAACAATCACATCACTTGATCGAGGGACAAAACTTAAGACCTTCTGCCTGCCTTCGTTTGTCATTAGACGTGACATTCTCTGATTCAGCTGTTTTATAGCTGGATTTCCTCCCTGTGATGTCGACATTACTAATACAGTATAAAAGTATAGCTTTTCCCAAAAGGTATTTGTTGTTCGATGATAAAGAATGTATTACATGTAAAATCCATGCACTTGCGTCATCACGCGAGTATTGCATAATATAGCCAGTCAATCATAGCCAATGCTGTTCAAGGTCAGGGTCAGATAAAAAAACCCGGAATGATTCCATGCAGGAGTCCGTAAATCCGATGGAAGTCGGAATCTGTTAAACCCGGCCGGGAAGAGCCGAAAGATGCTAATTAAAACCCCCTCTTGTTCTGCAGGCCTTTCTAAATATTGTTTAATTAGTTTAATTAAATTCGTCGCAAAACATTACAACAACAGTACACTATACATAGCTAGTACATAAATCTACAGGCATACAAACACATGGTTATGGTCGCGACAGGGTAAAAATAGGATAATTCCCATTTGACATTTACTCCTTTAACATAGTAGATATAAAAATCTCTATATAAAAGGACGCTACAAGACGCGTACACACAAACATGTAATACATTAATATTAAGGAGGTTCATATGATGTTAAATTTTCCTTGTAGTTATTTGTCAATTGCTTTCTAAATATGAATACGTTGCTAGGTGTAATTGCCCCGAGTTTAGTAGTTTTGTGGCTTGAATCTCGATATTTCGTCGAGTTGTATGTCCGCATCCAAGGGGGTTACGGAAATTAATGTATCAAGGGGGGGGGGGGGTTATCTATCATCGTTGAAACAATATGCGATTATAAATATAAATCAGGTACGAATGGCTTTATTTCTTTTCAATTCAATTCAATTTAATTTTTTTTCCAAATGTGTTACAATAGTTTGAACTTGATAGATATATACAGTACAGGTTGTGTTTTACAAAACATATTTGGACGGAGTACCAATAAACCCAGAAGGCTTTTACAAGTAGTTCCCCTAGTATTATATTGATATATTTATAATATTTAAAAAAATTATCAGGTAATCAAGCTATGAATTAACGTATATTTACATTGATATAATTATAATATATATTATATGTATATAATGCAATAAGTTCAAATATAATAAATCTTATTTTAGGCTATATTGAAATTATTTGTTTTGAGATAATATGTATTTTTTTACTGCACACTTAAAA